TTATCGAACCGTTGTAGAACTCAAATCACTAAGGTATAACCAACCACCCTTTCGAATGCGTTGACCAACTAATCTAATATCAGATACTTTCATCCTCTCGAATGCGAATTCCTAGATCTAGACTAGCATTAAAAACAGGTTTGATATGTTCACAAATATTCCTAAACCACCTCTCATATGAATCTAAAAATCTCTGCCCACCTAAGATAGTTCAAGTAATAGATGACCTCTCGAATCTACCTATTATCCTATGATCAGGTTCTAGTTAGCTACTCTAGAACTAGCATTAAGAACAATCTAAGATGAGGAACTCTAAAGATTAATCCTAACATGTAATCAATTTACTATTTCCCTAATGAGAATCCCTAAACCTAACAAGCAAACTACTCAGACATGGGGATAGAAACAAACAACATGATTGAATAAAATTGCATTAAGAAATCAAGAGAATTAGTAAAAGAGTTTAAGAAATCTTCTCTGGAGAAGCTCTCTCCAATTATCTCCCAAAAGATTCAAGTTCCCAAAATTACAATAGAATAAGAGATCGAGAGATGGGTCTAAGAAAAAATCCTAAAAATCTATATATATGTTCTTAAAAACGTGCATGGGCTTGAAAATATGGAAAGTTCTTGGGCGATTCTGCAAATCTTCATAACTTCAAAGAGACTCGAAATTGCATTGCCATCAGATATTGGTGTCGATCGACACTTGCACGTATTTTCGTCTCCGGATAGCATCGCGGAGCATAACTTCTCTGTTTTGCTCCAGAATGATCCGTAATCTCCAAATTGGTCTCGAACGTATAAAAATCTGAAAAGACTCAAAAAGACTCTAGAAACAACAAAAAGACTCTAAAAACAATACTTATATCATGGTTAAAAATGGTAAAATCCATGATATATCACAGAGTACATGAGAATTATAGATATGAGAGTAAACAGAACCTAAAACATGAACAAGTAACTTACCTTTGTGAGAATGAGAAATAGCATAACGCTTGGCAATCCGAACCATGCCAAGTCTTCTTACTATTTCCAACATTGCCACAAATGGTTTCTCCCTTGTCTTGTTGAAAGACTCTGTTGAGTTATTTTAACATCTTCACAGTAGTTGTAGTTGCTCATCTTAAAGAACGCCCTACACCAAGTCTTTGGTTTTAACTTTAAGACATCTTCATACACTTTAGTATCATAAGCAAGTATCCACTCCAATTTCTCTTCACACTGTCTTTCATTGTAGCTCCAAGCCAGATTCCAGAGTAGTGGCTTCATTTTCTTCTTAGAAGGATGATTCTTCTTCAAATTAGCATAGATGTGTCTAACACACATCCTATGCTCCATCTTTGGTAGCTCCAACTCTACAGCTTTTAGCAGACCCTGAAACGGAACCAAACTTCTTTAATTCTGAAAACACAATGTTTTCTAAAAATATGAAACAAAACCAAAACAAGAAAACACATATCTTCTGTCGATCAGACACCTATATGTAACCATCTCCTTCATTTAAGTCCATATCAATCTTCAACCTATTCACAAACCATACCACATTATCTGTGTTTTCAACTTTAACAACACACCTAGCAATTGGATATATGCCATTATATGCATCTCTGCGTAATGCAACAAGTAACTGACCCTTGATCTTTGACTTTAAGATGCAGCCATCAACTCCAAGAAGTGGCCTACATGTTTGTTTACAGGTTCTTCTTAGTATATCAAATCAGACATAGAACCGATTGAATACATCATGATCAACATCATTCTTAATCGTCTCTATCTTCACAACAGACCCTTAATTTGTTTAAAGATCTCAGCCGCATATTCCCTCAGACGAGCAAACTTCAAATTATACTCAACCTCTATCCATGCCAATGCCTTTTTCCTAGCAGCTTGACATTGAGGCCTAGTTACTGCAATCTTCCATCTTTCCATGATAATCTCTTCAATTTTTGCAGGCAGATAATAATCGGGATACTCCCTAATCTTATCAAGAAAAATCTTAGCTATGACAAGGACCTTAAACATCTCGCAGTCTCCATTAGCTACACAACAATGTTTACCTTTGTAAACATTATCTTCCACATCGATGCATTTGGAAGACATGTTGCATACACTTGTCATTCACATTTACCTTCAGCACCAAGACATTTATAACTTATCTTATCATAATCATACATGTACTGCTTCAGATTGTAACCCGTATGTAGTGCATAGTCCAAAACACACTCTTTGAACTCGATTCCATTGTAGAAGGATTGGCCTTGCCACATCGTCCCATCACCATGTCTGATGTCTAGTAAACACTCTCGCTGGACGAGCTGCACGACGAACACATTTTGTCTCGCCGTCACTTTCTGGGTAGACATCGTGTCGAATCGATTCTTCAGCCTCCGTAAAAGACTGGACAAGCTTATCAATGTGAAATTCATCACGATCCTCTGCTTCTTCATCGACTCCAGAACCATTTCGGATGATTAAAACCATCTCCGGAGTTTCGATTTGGGAATCGCAATTTGTAGGGTTATTCGAGAGAGAAAGGAGATTTTTTTTTGGGGGGAGGGGGTTTCTGGGTTAATAGGGTTTAGGTTTGTTATCGGGTAGAAATTAGGTTTACTCCGGTTAATGGGTTTGATTAGTTGGTTAAACAAGTCATATACCAACAGTAAACCACTTGATCCCAAATTATGGAGAAATAGATGAGAACTCTTATTTCAGGGAGATATAGGATTAAAACTTTGGATTTAGAGATATATAGGTCGATGAGCATTTTCGATTGGAAATATGAAAAGGGATCAAAGTTCCAATCACAACTGCTATATGATGTGATAGTTTTCAAGAAGATCTGGGACGTTTTCCCAAAATAATATCTTATACCTTTGTAAAGGTAAATAAAAGAGCTAACGACTAAAGTTAAATGAGATACAATGTCTAGTTTGACTCCGTATTTGAAGGGACTACACAACCAATCAAATTTAATACAAGGTTTGCTATATTAGAAGAAAAACATCAAAAACGTTTTGGAGATAGAAAAAAACTAATCATAGCATAGAGCCATAGAGGGTAGGGTAAACAAGCTTTTCAGTTTTACCAGAAAATCAGGAACCTTTGGTCTATTATATTACACATCAATGTTTTGGTACAGGCATGAAATTGACCTTTTACTATCACTACTTTGATAATTAACATATTAACAAGGCAATTGTTTATTTACGGAAAATTACGTGTAATTATCTGTTGTTTGTGTAACTTGTCGACAGACCTCCTAAAAATTGAAATAGGTTTGACTCTGACTTGAGAAAAGGCAAAGAGGAACATATAAAGCAAGTGGACGTTGACTGTTATGTCTATTCTCATGCTATTTTTTTAATAAATGACTACATAATTTGTTTTTTTTTTTCTCAACAAAAATAAAAACGATAAATTGTTTTCTTCATCATTAGCCAATAGGCCCAATACGAATTTTAACAAGTACTGCAATAGTGTACTACTATACTATTTGAACTGCTCTGCTCGTTAGAAAATTTTGATTCAACTTTAATTCACAAACAATATTAAGGATAACGTATTGAAAACAAAACTGTAAAGGATAATCTTATGTAAAATATAATGAACAAAATATATTTATCTTTTGTTTGATTCAATCAGTTTCATTTGCGGGAAAATCAAAGGGATAATAACTGACGAAAAAAATAAGTTTAATAACATTAACTACCACTCGTGGGGAAAAATCAATTTATATACAATCTAAACTTATACTCTAGTAGTTTTCACGTGTGTTGTTAATCTATCAACATTCGGATTTGCCATACAAAAGTTGTATATCGTATATGCCACATTGGTAATATATAAGTTACATGCTCCATAAGTTATATGTTGAGACTATACTAAATGGTTTTACTCCATCATTTTCCTGATAAGCTGTCATTTTAACAGTGGAGAAGTAAAACAAATAACATGTTGATCCACCGATTTCGTGGGGACCTAAGGATTTACATAAAATTGACACATTTATACATATTTGAGATTCAAATATATATATTTAGGTTTCTAATTTTGCAACTTGGAAAGAGAAGTAGAAGCCCTATTGCTGTATATGAGCAGCAAGGACACGTCATTTTCTGTTTCTGGAGTTAGACAAATCAAGTTCACGTTGTAACTTGCCTTATTTGTCTCCTTCCTATTGTAATCTCTGCCACCTACCTGTTCCTCTTCCATATTAGGACATAATGTCCCACATCGGAAGTTGGAAGGGATCCTAAGTAATATATAAGAGATATGGGCCACTCCACTCATTGCCAATTGGTTTTGAGTTGGAAGCACATATTCTAATATGGTATCAGAGCCCGATCCACACATGTCCAACCCGATCCGACCCAAAGATAGTCCAATCATCGACAAGGCCCAAAATTGATACCGTCGATCAAAGCCCGAACATTCCGAGATTAATGGCCAAAGAGCCATCATCTCAAGGGGGCGTATTAGGACATAATGTCCCACATCGGAAGTTGGAAGGGATCCTAAGTAATATATAAGGGATATGGACCACTCCACTCATTGCCAATTAGTTTTGAGTTGGAAGCTCATATTCTAATACTCCAAACACACAATCACGACAAAACATTTTGTATGAAGCCTTTTCTTTTTGACTCAGAAAATGTTAGTATTTCAGTAAAATAAATAGTATGAAAAACATAGTCCAAACTCCATTCAAATATGATCGTGATGATACCATGTGGGTCTTAGACTAGCTAGTGGTGCTTCTTACAATTTAGAAATCATCCAAATCTTGCATTTCTTGAGACCACTAGTTCCATTTTGTGGATTCCTTTGGTTATGTATCACATTCACAGGCCACATTCATAATGATGTAGGCCTAATGGGCTTTATTTTGGGCTCTGAAGCTTTGACGAAATAACTTGTGAATTGGAGGCTTTGACGAAATAACTTGTGAATTGGAAAAATTGACCCTGATTTAGAGGCTTTGACGAAATAACTTGTGAATTGGAAAATTTGAATCTATTTCAAACCGAATTTTGAAAACCAAGAATTCCTAAACAGAAATGTGTTTTGATGAACCGGTTCTAAACCGCAGAGAGAAGAAATAAAACAGAGGAGTATACAACTTCAGATATAAATATGGGATGATGAATCAACAGTTTGAATTTGATAGATTCAAATTTCACTCGGTGTGGAAGTCTCTGAGGCTCCATTTTCAGATTTGGGTTTGAGTTCGGGTTCAGGTTCAGGCTCAATGCTGGTTCGTCGGTTTCCTACGTTCTCGATGAGCCTAACCAAATCAGACATCTTCGGCCTCTGGTCTGCTGCTTTCACAACACATGACATTGCAATCTGCAACATCTCAACCATCTCTTCCTCTATGTTTGTATACCTCAGAAGCTCTATGTCGAATACTTCTGCGGTCCATTCCTCTCTCACTACCGAATGTACCCATCGAACCAAGTGAATGATCTCGTCCCCTGCAATTTCCATTAGATAATGATCATTACAACGAAAATATAACAGTTGAAACGGTCTGGTTACTTCGGGTTGTAGCTTTACCTGCGGTTGTGTGAATGGGTGATTTTCCGGTGAGCAGTTCGAGTAGAACGACGCCGAAGCTGTAAACATCCGACAATTGAGAAGACTTCCGTGTGTCGGTTACTTCTGGTGCACGGTAACCAGCTTGCCTCGAGATCGGTGGAGCCAAGGGGCTCATTACAGCGGTTAATCCGAGATCAGAGACACAGCCATTATTCTCGGAATTCAAGAATATATTCGAAGATTTGATGTTTCCATGGACGAGTTTTCCATTGTTTTCTTTGTGGATACGAGCAATCCCTTTAGCTGCTCCAATCGCGATTTTCATTCTGGTTTCCCAGTCTAAAGGAATCCGGTTTTCTCCTCTGTTACCTGCAAGATCCAGTCGAAAAACCAAAATATTACAAATTTACAATGAGCCTAAAGCAAATGGGTTTGATACTGATTGTAGCTATAATGCATTAGATCAAAAAGTGAAACGTACCATGAAGCAAAGTAGCCACACTTCCTCGGCTGAAATAGTCATAAACCATTAGCTTCTCGTCTTTAGAGTAATAGTATGCCTTAAGCTCTACAACGTTTTCGTGCTTAATACCTCCAATGATCTCCATCTGCTGCTCAAAATCTCGTTTCCCAGCCGCAACATCCTTAAGCCGTTTCACAGCAACAGAAGTTGCATCTTCAAGAACAGCTTTGTACGTCGTGCCAAACGTGCCCTTACCAAGAACCTCAGCAGAAGCTCTCAATAGATCCTCAAGATCAAACGAGTAGTTGCATCCTTCGAAGAAGGATAACCGGTTGTTCACATCTTCCATCCGCGAAACGAATTTCTCTGGAGACATCCCGCCTTTCTTCTGCAGCTTATTATCCGAAATGACCCCATCATTGTGTCTTAAATTCCTTCTTACGTAACAAACAGTCAACAAAAACGCCAAAGCCGCAACTACTACAATGGAAACAGCTATAACAATCAACAAGAAAACCGTCCCGGATAGTCCCAAGAAGCGAGCTTTCGGTTTCTGATGAGTCTGCTCGCGAGGTGGTGGCGGCTCAACGAGGGAGTAGTTACCACCAGGAGGAATAACATCGATGCCTGCATAAGAAGACAATGGGAATCTTCGAAGCCAATCCGGTATTGGTCCATCGAGATCATAATTGTTGGACAGGTCAATGTGTTGCAGACTAGAGACCACACTCAGATCCGGAATATCACCAGAAAGCGAATTGTTAGCAAGATTCAACGACTGAAGCCGCCTAAGACGGGACAACGAATCCGGAATAGTCCCGTTGAAACCGTTGTTCGAAAGATTAACACTAGTAAGATTCTTCCAAACAGAGAAATCCAAAGGCAAAGGACCAGACAATCTGTTGTCCTGAAGATAAAGAAAGGCCAAATCTTTCAACTCAACAAAATCCGCTGGAAACACACCGGAGATTAGATTGGATCTGAGACTAAGAACTCTGAGACCAGAGAGTCTGCTTATAGTATTGGGAGGAATCTGACCATTGAGTCCAACCCCTGGTAATCTAACGGCTATGATTCGAGATCCGTCTTGATTACAAGTAACTCCGGTCCAGATGTTGCAGACTTGAGAAGTCTCGTTCCAGTTCAGTGAACGTGTCGGACGCATAATGGTAAGAAACTCAAGCAATGCGCGTTTGTCTTCTAACGGATCTGAGTTTGCTCCATAGATAATCAAACACAGATAGAGAATCCATAGATAAATCCTCAAAGCTTCCATTTTTTGAAAGTAAAAAAACGAGCTGTTTCTTTTGTAATCTGGAGCTGAAGAAGAGACAATGAAAAAAAAACTCAATTTGATTGATGATGATGAAGATGATGATGAGAATATAAATGGTTTACAAATTTGTTCACTTTAATTTAAAATAAAAGGTACCAAAAAAGCGAAAAAATTTCAGATTTCTAGAAGACAGCGGATTAAAAAGTAAAAGTGGAATCTTGAAGTTGTTCTATGTGACCATTGGATATTTTAAAATCCAGAAATTGAAAACAAGAGTGGGAGACAGAGAAAGAGAGAAACTTTAAGCTTCGAAAATGACGAAGCTTTAATTTAAAACCCTAGAATTTCTGGAAATTAAAATTGTCAAAAAGTTGAATCCTAACTCTATTTAGAGATTAAATTTAAGCTATAAAAATAAAGAATTGGTACCCTCGCTTTTTTTTTTTCCAGATCTGAACTTTATTGTCGACCCTCGAGCTCTGTTTCTTCTCGAGAATCAAATCAGCTCTGAAGTTTTTACGAACACAGTTCGAGATTTAGAGGAAGAGAGACGAACTTCTTAAATTATGCAGTGACGATAATGTGAAGAACCGCCATTGAAGCAAACACTTGTGAGCTTTGTGGTTTTTTAATTCCAAGCAAGCAACGGATATAATTTATTTTGTTCTTTTTTTTTGGCATTAAAGTGATGAAAGTGACGAGGGAAGATACTGATGCGACTTATTTTCTTATACGGTTTACAGGTTGGTGACCGGTGAGTCTGTGAAACCCGTACGTACCGGTTATTTATTACCGAACCGGGGACCATTTAACGTTGTTATCCCCCACAAGTCGGAACATTATTAGCTACTTGAAATTGTGAAACCGGTTAAGTTTTCTGAACCGATATATACAGAACCGGATGATTAATTAGTCAACGGAGAGAATAATTAAATTATCTTAATCGAGGGTAAGAAATAAATTATTTAACTTACCAAACAATTTAGGGAAATACGTTTTTATTTGTTTTGTACTTGTCATAATGAAGCTCAAAGCCTTCAATGCAAATCGACTTCTACCATTTTAATATAATTCTTGTTTTCTTTTTGGGCATCAATAAGATATTCTCTTTTTATAATATTATACTACTTCTTCGGTGTATTAAATATTGGACCGACGCAATTATAGAATTTTATGGTGCATCATAATAGACCAATTATTTTCAAATCTTTCATGATTATTGTGATGATTTTATACCATCTTACCACATTGAGAGGCAATGAGTATAAGTCCATTAACTCTAAAAAGGAAATGTGTATAAGCCTTTGAATCTAAAAATAATATTTTTATATAGTTTTGTTTCTACTTGAAATACCCAATTAGATTAGTTTATGGTTTAAGAAATGGTTTATTCAAGAATTGTTAACCATGAGAGCAAGAAAGCTTTAAATATTAATGAAGATTTTCACCAAATAAAAATTAAAATAAATACAAATTTCATTTAATAGTAAATAGTATAACATTATCTTCATACACAAGTTAAATCAAAACCAGGATCTAGTCACTTCCTAAAAATGGGTGACCTTTTCAAATCTCAGGTTTCCTTTTAATATTTCGGATTTTTAATACCGAAGAAATCACACACACTGTGATGTTCTATAGACTATACAAAAAAAATAGCCCACAAGATAATGAAAGACGCAGAGAAGAATCGGTTTGAGATAACCGGTACCGGTTTTTCAGGTGGAAAGAACAAGCGAAAGGTTTAATTTACCGGTCCATTCTTCACCCGGTTTCAAAGTGATAGGTTTCTCAATGGCTGCTCCATCAACACACAACATGTGTTTATACTCATCATCTCCCAAATCCGTCAATGCTCTCGCTTTCTTCTCCCATGGATTCCATACCACTGCGATATATAAACCGAGAATCTAATTCTGTTAAAAACCGGATCCCGGTTAAAAGGGCGGGTTAAGTTTTCGGTATTTGAATCTTACCGACATCAGGTAGACCTTCTTTCCTGATGAGGAATGTGCGTTTTCTTTCATGGTCGAAAACAGCAACCACGTCTTTAGAATTTAGGTACACTCTATCGATCTCGGATTCAAAGGTTAATGCATCGCCTTGCTCCGTGAACCGCTCTCTATCGTGCAAGTTATCAAGATAGTCAAGAGTTTCCAGCCCTTCAAGTCTAACTTCACTGATAAATACCAAAAGAAAAAAAAAAGAGTGTATTGAGTTCTACGTTTTATTATGTGATAGCAGAGAGACTAAAGGGGCTAAACTCGGTGTTTCACCTAATATCGGAAATGGAGAAGTAAGTGTGGTAAGCAATGGAAAAGCTAAAAGGCTTTGAATTGATGTTTCTGACTCGTGATATCAGTGTTAGGTTTCCATCTAACGCCAATGAGACTCTAAGATGAAACTCAAAGCTGAAACAAGAGCAATAGCAATTAATCATTGCTGAAATGAAAGAAACCAGATCATATCGAGGAATCAAAATGATCGGGGTTTGGAAGCTACCTGTAAGGCCAGATCCTCATCGTGTCTTCATCAGATGACTTAAGTACCAAATCGACAAAGGCTTTGCCGGTAGGGTCAAATGAAGGTAAAGCGGGTGGATTGTTTTCCACAAGCCATATCTTGTTTCTTGCAAAACCGTGTTGCTCAAGTGATCCCCGAGTTCCAAACTTAAGAATAAACAAAAATTTAAAGAAAAGGTGATCATCAAAACCAAGATTAGTCATGTCTAATATATTACATGTTCCATTTTATGAGTCAATGTACCTGAGGAAAGCATATAGGGATTCCTCCTCGTACCGGATGGGGAGGCTTCAAGTTGGCCTGAAACAAGAGCATGTTGTTCACCAAATATTATACAAAGTTGCTTAAAAATGTTGAAAAAGCAGAGTTCATTACCTTGGTGCTGGTGAATAACAATTCATCACCCTTCTCAGTCTTCCAAGAAAGAACTTGTCCTCCATGTAAACTAATCTGAATCATAAGCAAACCGGCAGTTCAATAAGCGAAATGGAAATGTTTGTGAATGTGAGTGATTATAGGAATCATAAAAGCCAAAGTTTCCATGGCCAAAACAAATAGACTTAAAGCTATCAGATTTTTCTCGTTAAGAAAGTTTCAAGAATATGAACTAGGCCTTCAACTTTCAACAATCAGAACCCAAATCACCAGTAGAATCAGAGCAATCAAACACTCTGATCATAAGAACCAAATACACAGATTCCCCCCAAAAATAAGACCTTGGAGCCAAAAAGTATTAAAGACAGGATACAATTCCAATTCTACAGTACCAAAGAAGAGTTTGGCAGAGGAATAGTTAGTGGGCAAACCTTAAAAGTCAACATCTTATCCTCTATCTCAAGAATCCGAGAATCAAAATTCTGAATCTTGCATCGAAGAATCATTCTACTTTTGCGTAAACAGAGGAGAAACAAATTGAAACAAGAATAAAATCTAATTACCTTGACAGAAGCGCCTTTAGGATTCTGAAGAAGAATCTGATCGGTTCCATTTTTATCCTTGACCAAGTCAACGGTTGGTCTCTTTTCAGGACCGACTCCAGATGATGGTTCCATTAAAACACAGATTCAGAGACTTGGATAATTTTTCACCTTGATTTCTCGAGTATTTAAATCCAGAAAAAAAAAATTAGGCGAAGAAATCACAAGAAGAAGAAGAAGAAAACAACAACACTTTCTTGTGGAAAGAGCAACAAGAAACCCAAAGTAATCTCGTGGAAACGAAACCGAACCCTCAACCACCACTTCAACTGCTTATAAGTCTTTTTCTTACACACCGAATAAAGCTGCAACACACAAAACTCTAATGTTGCAAAAAAAAAAAAGAGAGGATAAAGTGAAAATCAGGATTAAGACAGAGGTTGAGATTGAAAATGGAAAGATCTTTGGAGATTTTGATATTCACTTAACTTAAATTGGTCCAACCAAATATATCAAACACAAGCTTTCCCCGGGGAAATTAAGGTTAACGATAAGCTGGGATTAGAAGGAGAATTAACAGATGCCCAGATGAAAATTACGTATTGAAATCAAGAACCCAGAAAGCAAAAACACAACTTTGTTTTTTTGGCCCGGAAGAGGAATCTGAAGTATGAGGAAACAGAACGAAGATATTTTTAAAGACACAAGTCAAAAAAATTGGGCAATATGTAGAAAAATTGCAACGATTCAAAAGGTTAATAAAAGACTGCAAATGGTATTTTAATATGTAATGTTTAATGTTTAATAAGCCAATGGGATTAAACGATAGAAGATAGTTTTTTTTCCTTCGAAAGACCTAACTAGAATATAGTTTAATTTAAAGACCAATTTCTACAATTTCTCCATTAATGTTATATAGATGTTTGGTGGTTAAGTTTTTTCGTCAATCTGATTGGCTGAGTTTGGTTAAACTCTACTGCGGTGACGATACTGTAGGGGAATGAAGTATCTAGTTGCAAAAAGAAAAAAAAAAAAAGATAAAGAAGAAAAAGCCAAAAAAAAAACCAAAATAAGATGATGGCGTGAGAACAGCTGGTTGTGATGAAAGGTGTGGGGATGGGTAGATCTTGACATGCCACCATGATTAACGGAATTAACTACCTGTTCATATTTGGAGGGAAATTGATTTTCTCATTAATCACTAATTAATTAACAAGTTCTTATAATTTTCGATCTATTCAGCAGATGAATAACATGCAAACTAGTACACATTAAAAGAATAAATCACTAAACGAAAAGAAAAGGTGTTTCAACAGAGAGGATAATCAAACAAACAAGTCTGCGCAAGCAAATAATCCAAAAGAGACAGCGACCATATGTTTAAAGTTATTGAACTTAATAAAAAAGAAACATTTCTTTAAAATAAACACGCTTATAAAAAGATTCATATGATTGGTTTATGCTATATATGTCGTGTTTAAGTGTTTTAACTCACACTTTACCAAAAAGATTAATGTATAAAGTTTACGAGTGCTATAATAAACTTTTGGTGAAATTATGTAAGACAATAACAAGATTCATTGGGTAGACTCCATGTTCTAAAAATCCCCGCCTAGCCCCGATTACTCCCCGATTAATCGCTAGGCCCACCCTATCCACCTCGATTAATGACTAATCCCTTAAAAATCAGTAACCCGATTATTCTCCGCCTAATCCGATTACTTCCCGCCTAATCCGATTATTTTCCACCTAATCTTATATACCCCGATTATTTTTTTGATTGCAAGTATAACAAAACTTTTTATTTTTGTTATTCAATCATTTGAATGGGGAGTTTGTGATATTTTCCAATAACTTGTGTTCAAATTTTAATAAAAATCATAAATTTGTAATAAAAATCATAAATTTTTACAATATTGGATTAATATATTTTAAAAATATTAAAATAACCCTAAAACTAATCCCCAATTAATTCCCGATTTTAATCCGATTTTCCGATTAATCACTAGGCCCATGCCGAGCGCCCGACTAGCGCCTAGCGATTTTTCAAACAAGGGGTAGACTGTAGAGACAGTAAGATGCTTATCATGTCTTAAGTGGTCTGGTGGGACTTGTTTTCATGATCTAATAAATAGCCCCGGTCTAATATATTTGAGAGTCTTAGGGTAAAAAAAAAAATTTAGCCTATTATTATATTTATAAAGAAAATTTACTTTTTCAAAAATTTGCGGATTTTTTACACTAAAAGTAGTTATTTTAAAAATTTTGGACCTTTTTATACTTTTTCTTATAAAAAATTAGGTGTCTTAAAATATAATTTTCATATTAATATTATTTTTTAAAAATATTTGAGCCTTTTTTATATGTAAAATTATCTATTAAAAAAAAAGGCCCCACGCCGTCGCACCTCCGCTCACCCCTCTGAGCCGGAGCTGCTAATAAGTTTAGCCCAAACATAATATTCGTATTAGCTAAGTATGCATGGCACTTTGTTTCATGATCAAATATAGCTTATTTTTGGTTCGTCAGTGTTCGCCATCGATCAAATATAGCTGGTTCGCCATCGATCGAGGTTCTGCAATTCGAGTTTTCTTTGCTGCCAGTGTTCGACAATCTATAAGTGTGTGTCTTTTTGGTGGTGGCTCCTGTTAATGTGAATTCTTCCGATATGACTTATTTTTGCATGTGAAAGATGACCTTTGCGTTCGGAAAAGCTGTAAGCCCGCATCGTCAGAGTATTTGAGGACCTTCTCTCGGGTGTGGAGAACTCGCGGCAAATCTGATTGAATTGGATTTCCTCTTCCTCCAACGAATGCTACTTCCTTTGTTTTACCCTTGTTTTGCAGTTTTTTCTCGTAATGTCGTCTTTTTTTGAACAAAGACCGGATTCATAATCTAACTCTGTTATTTTCACGTTACAATCTTCTAATCTTCCAGAAAAATTTGCATTTTAGGATTGGAAAACGATTAAATAAGATGGATTTGCTGATAATTCATTTGTAAATCATGCGTCCCGGACTCTTATTTTGCAATTGAAAAGAATATAAAAGACACAGAGACATCATACATGTGTATAAATATATTTTGAAAAGGACCACCTTAATTAAATTGTTTTCTTGTAAAGTTGTTTTTGGTATATCCAAATGTATGGAAAATACATCAACCTCAAAAATATGTATGGATTTTTTTTTTTAAAGATAGGCGAAATAATAAAATAAAAATAAAACTTCCAATGAAATTAGAAAAAGAGAAATACTCTAAAATAGAGTACCAACAAAAAAAAAACCAATTTGTTTATGTTTAAGATTAAGACTTCAATTTACGAACTAATTTAGGATTTCTGATTTAGATGCTGGAGTATATGGTTCACGATTTAGAATTCAAAGCTTTGATTTATACTATGTTTTTAACTTATTAAAAATTAGAATGTTTTTTTAAAATTTTGTTATTAAGTTTCTGATTTTTATATTATTATTCAGAATACGTACGTAGAAACATTATATTTTAAAATCTATATAAATGTTCTAATTTATTTAGATATACATAACAATTGTTATAAATCAAATGATTCTTGTATTTTTAATTTTTATTTGGTTCAACAATGTAAAATTTTATTTTGTCAAAGACTTTTCTTTGTTTTTGGACTTGGCAGAAAAAAAAAAAAAAAAAAAAAGGTCAAAGGCCTTGAGGCTTTAACCCTTTGGGTTTCTCGTTTAAGTGAGCTGGCCCATACTAAAGCTGTTAAACGTTTACCGAGGACTATATGTGGCTTTCAATTAAAGATCATAGCTATATAGAAAGTCCTAGAAGTTAGTTCATGTTAAAAAAGAGGAGCAATGCTGAATAATGGAATTGTATGCTTGGTGATTAGAAGTTTAGAACGGTCTTTATAAAGCAAGTGTATGTATGGAATTTGTTGCAGCTCACAAGGAGTTGTGTTTGTTATCTTAATTCGTTGCAGCGTCTCGATGGGAAGATTGTTTGTGAGAACATACTTGATGCACCCTTGGATGTTGCATTCCGTATGAAGCTACCAAAGGTAAGAAAACTATCCCAAAAGCCCATTTCGGAGTCACACAAACAATAAGTGATAATGTATCATATAGTTCTGTCGTAATAGTATAGATAGATTCAGTTCACTTATCATTTTTGGACTCATTTAGCAAATAGGTGCATGTATTGAAAAGTGAAAACAGAGTTTTGGAATTTGCAAGAGTATGGATTCAAAGCTTCCCAGCTAGGACTAACGTAAAAGTTTTTTCTATAGTATATTAAGTAATATGACTACATATTTTGATCAGGAGTAATTTTCAATTTTAGATGAAGTAAGGACCAATCAATTATCTAAAAGACCCTTTCGAATCCTGATTCTGGCTCTGGTAAGGTTCTGGTTACAGCTGCAGATGGCATTTTACTTCCACCAATCCATCTGTTCTCAAACACTTCACCATCATTAGCGTCTCTCTCCATCATCACTTGAATCTTCTTCGCTCTTGAAACCCTTATCCCCATTGTCAACAAAAACCAGAGAAACCCTAACACGCCAAATCCTGAAATAAATCCCACGATCCACAACCACCACCAGGTCCACCACGACTCGACATTCTTCTTATAATTCTCCAAGGGCTCGACCACCGAATAATCCCCATGGCTAGAACCGTAACACACGCCCGGAAGAACCATTCGGCTTATATGAGTTACTTTCTCATCTTCTGTCTGTGCCTTGAAACTCACGCATCTTACCCTAGACAGCATTTCTTCATCTGTCTCTTTAGGTAGATCCATAAACGAAACCTCTACAGGATTTTTCATCCTTAGACTAATCTCTTTGACATTGTCTTGATCTGACACGTCCAATACCTTAAACCCTAAGACATAAGTGATTAATCGGTAACCGGGTACGGTATACCAATGGTTAGACCAATTCCCTAGATTTTGGTACACAATAGCGACTCTCCTGGCAGGAGGAACCGAAACTGACCTTTCCGGAATAAGCACGCTGCTGAACTTGGCCCCGGAGTTCCAAAGGCTCTTCCCGGTGAGACGGACGACAGACACTTCGATGCCGGAAAGATTTTCCGGTAAGATGGCCCGGTATAGTGCACCGGTATGATGTTGAGTGGTTAACGTCTTGAGGGCGAAATCCTCAAGGGATTGAGACAAGGAATGTGGTAAAGTGACATTAAGGATTGACGTTGTGGAGTTGAAGTGGATAAGAGAGGATTGTGATGTAGAAGAAAACAAAATGGTGTGTAGTAAGAACACAACACAGCAAATGAGAGACTTTGAGTTCATGTTTCTCTTTCGTGTTATTTTTTTTTTGTTGTCTTTGGGAAAATATGTTTTAGAGTTAGAGCTAAGGAAGTGAAAAGGCAAGAATATGTAGGGTCATAAGTAAATAATGATGCATGTATTAATACGCAAATAAAAAGCTCGATTAATGGATGTAGTTTCTTTCAGGATTGAATTTTCTAAGTTTCTAACATACATATATCGAAATCAAGTTTTAATATTATAGTTTGCTTCCTTTGGTTTGTAAAATAAAAACTATGACGTAGAATGTTTGATTGCGCATGTCTGTGTAAAATACTAAAATTATTACAATTTAAGTCTAAAACATAAGAAGGTTTTGTTTCGAATGAAATTGAGACAAAATGAAAAGTAGATTTTATAATCAAAACTTTAATTTTGAAAAGTAGAGAGAAAGAGCGCAATCAGCGGCATGAACTCGTTACTCAAAAGTCAAAAAGACAAAAAAGAGTCAACTCTTTAGTGTTATTTTCTTTGCATGCGTTACTTTCTCATCATTTTATTTCAATAAATCGTAAAACTCTTAAACACAATTACACAAACTTATAAGGATTAGATAGATTTTCATTGCAGCAGTTTTACAAATTATAGATTTTAATTTAGCACTTTTAGATTTGACAAGAAAATAATAGTAATCAACATAGAATTGGATTTGAATATTTTTTAAGTCACTGTGAATAATAAAGCTGATCATATACAAGTAACAAAGAAAAATCTCATTAAACCAAGTTTTTAGTTACCCAAAAAGGTTGAGCCCACAAGTTCAAAAATAAAATGGAGCTTATATCCTCAATAGGAATTATATGGCTAACTCTAATGATGGGCCTAAATTGGCCCAATATATGCATTTGATTTTTTTTTTATGATATTTTTGTTGATTGATTATTAAGTCGTTTATAAAATATAAACCGAACAACATTTAATTTCCTTGCAAATCATAAAATTTAACTTGGAAAATCTTCAAAATAGTAATAATATAGTTCATTTGCAAATTACAAAAGCAAATGATTTTGTTCATTATTCTTTTAATTCTCGTGGTTGTATGACATTGTGTTATTTTCAAATATATATCGTGTCATTGTGAAGATTATCAATCAAAGCCGAAGTCATAAAACACAACTTTATCGCTCGTTAAAACAAACATTCAGTTGAATTTCATAAATGAACTTTTTTTATTTTCGGTAATTTTGAAAATAGATTGTAGGTTGGTGAGTGTATAAATGTAAGAAAGTAGAAATCTAAAAAAGTTACTGAATGGTCATATCAAGTGATGTGGAAAACTGAGGATTCACTCTTTTGGAATAAAATAACAAACAAATAAAATAAAAACAGGTAAGAGAGAGAGTCTCTGCTTAGCCCTGAGTTGTGTGTTTCCATTTCACCACAACAAAAAGGTATTCACCTTCTATACCCAAATTGAAATCCCCTTCGTTTATTCTTTTGAAATACCCAAATTGTTCTTTTCTTAAAACAAATGCTACCAATATTGTGCTGTAGATCTTGCTTTATTCTTTATTTTAGTTTTTAGTTTTTTAATCTTCCATATTTAAATAAGATTTACATTTTAAAAAAGTTTAGTTTATGCAATAATACCTCCAACTAGATTTTAATCCGCGGTACACCGCGGGGCTATACTTTAAACAAAAGTTTGAAAATTATCTATAGATATAACCTATTGTTTTGTTTGGTTAAATATACTTACATATGTATATATTATATATATTACCCCGCGATACTTCGGGTCGATTTTTTATAACAATAATTTTTAAATTTTAAGTTGTATTTTTTTGTTAATATTATTTATTTTATTTAGTGTTTAAGATTATATAACTGTATTTGATTGTTAATCCTAGGATTTCACCTGTAGTATACCGTCCCGTATTAATATCGACCCAAACCCGTCCCACCATATAACCCGTCCCATGAAATTAAACATCATTTTGTTATATTTCTTTTTAATAATATTTTTATTTAAAAACATATACAATTCGAGTCAATTTATAAGTCTGCTTTAAAAAACATATAGTTGTAATGTTTTTATTATAATAAAGTAATAATATATAGATGTTGCTTACTATAGTTATAATCAAAACCAACTAAAAATCTAAGTTTAGTGTTGATTATGAATCATAGTTACGACCAAAAAAAAATTAATCAAATACAATTAGTGTAAATTAACTAATTAAGAAAACAAACAGAAATATAACAAAACTTGCTTTAAAATCGTTAACAAAAAAAGGAAACATCATATTTAAGCAAGATCTTTGGAGCCAAAATCTTTTTTTCATATCTTTTATTTAATTTTCCAAATCTTAAGAATTAAATTCAGTGGCATTCCATTGTAAATACATTCCAACTCCAGGATTTATTTGCTAAAAGTCATCCAAAAATGTATATATAGATGTTGGATGATCTAAAGGGTTTTAGTGAATATTGAATAATTGGAAGAGACATGTTTTGTTACCGACATTGTTTGTTATGCACTGCATTAATACATGACAATCGATTAAATATACTATTGGATTAAGCATTGCATAGGGTTAAAAGGACATTTCTTTAATTTTCTAATCAGGGTAGAGTCCGATAAAAATCTAGACTGATCTTTAAAATCTGTAAAAAGTAGAATATTTTTGTTATTTAAAATCATTTATAATAGCAAAAACAAAGGTATATAGAACTCGATTTATGACATTATCGAGTTGAAGCAGAACATTAAGCTCTGGACAGCCGTAAGATATCGAACCATGCTTAAAAAAAATAAAAAAAAAAAAAAAAAAAACTTTTTCCTAGATGAACCGTAAACGAAATAATTTTAGCAGAAGAAATCTTTGTTATCATGAATGAAAGATCGAGTGGAACTTTATAAGTCAGTTTTTTTTGTTATTTAATTCCATTTATAACAAACCAACCTTGATAAAAAAAAAAAAAATTAACTATTCATTTTACCATTGAACTATCGTATGATGTCAGTAAGCTTTATAAACTTAGAAATTTTCAGTTTTTTCAGGAAATAATTTTTATTTTCAGTGACACAGCTGATATGACGATGAGAAGACTACAAGAGGACTGAAGCAAGTTAACAAGAGACCCATGGAATCTCTGCAGTTTTGTTTCCCACTTCTGTTTTTTTCTTCCATGCTTCACTTTTTCTATCAATATCACTTTGTTTTATATGTAAAATTCAATTAAAAATAAACACACACATATATATATATATATATATAATTTATATTTGAAGGACAGAAAATTACCTGATACTGAATTAAATTGCATAAAATTTAATTAAGACAGCTGTAGAAGGACAGAGTCAAATCATAGGACAACCCTATATGTCCAATAAAGGCATTGGAATCCTTTGTATCTCCTGCATTTACCTTACATATTCTATAATTAGGCCTCCATGATTAGAAAAAGAGATTTAATTAGATTGACCAAAATACAAAAGAAAGCTAATTAGATTAATCGCTATGATTTGCAAAAATAACATCATGTTTACGCTAAATATCTTACTATAGCCCCAATTTATATTCTTGCAAATAGAAAATTCATAATCATTTTTCTAATGATCACTAAAGTCTAATGGTGTGGTTAAATATGAGAATAAAAGATATCAATAAACAATAATTTGGTTTATCAATAACGTACAATAGAAAGTTTTGAATTCAGTTGGTGACTTATAATGACAAGTAACACCAATCAATAAATTACAAACCATAGTCATTACATTTTGATTATTAGTGGTGATATTTTAGATGTTTTAATTGCGATGATAAAAATGAAAACAATATTTTTAATAAATTAAAATAATATTATAGCTCTAAAATTTAATTTTAAAGTTTATATACAAAAAATTCTAACATAATAAGAATATTTAACTTTGGAAAAGAAAAATAGAATAATCAACTGTTTTGAAATTTTAGAGAGCGCACCAAATAGACGACATGCTTGATTACTTATATCTGTCGTATGTTTTTTTTTTTTGGGTTCAAATTATTGCTGTCTCCATATGCTACTAGTTTTATTTGTCTTTTTAATTATTATTGGTAATCGTTTAGGCAACAAAAACATTACCGTTGCGAGGAAAAGGTGTTTGATACCTCATTATCAAAATCCGGCGTGGTCGTGTGGAAAGAAGGATCGGATGGGTTCCTCCTACAGGTGAATGGATGAAGCTAAATACGGATAGGGCTTCAAGGGGAAATCCGGGTTTAGCAGTGGCAGGTGGAGCCCTAAGGGATGGAGATGGGAATTGGTGTGGAGGCTTTGCGGTTAATATCAGTAAGTCTTCTGCACCATTGACAGAGTTATGGGGAGTTTATTATAGTTTGTATATTGCATGGGAGAGGCGGGTGTCGTATGTGATATTGGAAGTGGATTCTGAGCTGGTGGTGGGGTTTTTCAAGATAGGAATTCAAGAGTCGCATCCGTTGTCTTTCTTTGTACTCTTGTGTCATGGTTTTATCTCAAAGGACTGGACTGTCCGGATTGATCATGTGTATAGGAAGACGAATTGTCTTGCAGATTGATTGACGAACTATGCTTTTACGTCGCCATTAAGTTTTCATTTTTTTGCTTCTATTCCTATGGAGATTGCTTCGATTGTAAGAGATGACACTCTTGTGTCTACTCGACCAAAGATGATTCCGGTGTAATTGTTTTAGTTTTCATTTTAATAAATTTGTCCTTACCAAAAAAAAATGCGTGATACTAGAACTGTTTAAACCAATTGCCCAAATTACCCAACACAACAACTGCTACACCAACTGGCAACAGTTTGATGAGCGGTTGATTTCGAAACCAAATTCGTAAATTATGGTAACACTGAAGAAAAAAATTATATAATTGAATGAAAAAAAATCGTACTATAATGATGGATGGAGAAGAAAGAGTGGCATGAGACTAGATGTGCCGATGGACAGATGAGAAAAAAGTTTGATTAGACTAAATTTTTTTATCTTGTTAAAGTTGTGACACAGAATCAAGCTAGCAGGTTTATTTTGCAAGTAATATCCTTTATTACTATTATTTTCACTTTTCGTCTCCACCGAGAATCTGATGCAATGATATTTAATGAGAAAATTATAGTTTATAATTATATACTTTAATAATAACAATTCATAATTCGTAATTACCCCTGTAGCGTAGTGGCCATACAGGTCGGGTCAAGTATGTTACATTTGGGTCAAGCAAGTCACGTGAATGGAGTTGTTTAGTGATGGTATCGACGTTTTTTTTTTTCGCTACATGAAACCTCTCTAAGTTCTAAGGATCTTTGAAAATCGAAATTACTTCATCACTAAATAATCATTTTGTTTTGTTTTTAACGATTTAGGAGTAAGAACAAATAGTTTATACTTTATAGTCAAAGATAATAATTGATTCTAGTTTTGGTTTGGCCTCTTTCGTTTTTGGGTTTTTGGGTACAAAAATAAAATAATTTG